ATACTTTAATCAAATTCATTTGTGTATGGTTTCTATTGGAAACGAAAATAGACATGTTTTCCCCGTCGTATTGAACAACGGCCAACATATTGACTCCGATGAAAAGATTAACATCGTAGCCACTCAACGATTGTTGCTCGATTGAGTATTAGTTGTTGATATCCAAGCCAACACGGTTGCTATCAGGTTCTTGTGCATAACTCTTCCTATTGTCGAACTCCATGCCGACGATCCCTGCTCGAAAGGTTCCATTGGTGGTCACATTGACAAAGTCAAGCCATTGACTGAAACTGGCGTTCGGGACAACGAAATCTGCATTAAGCACAAAAGCTAAACCTTTCCCGACTTTTGGTGAGTTTTTGTTATTGATATTAATGACGAAAGTTGTATTGAAAGATGCTAATCTTCATTTCTTTTTGTACCATAGCTTAAACTTCTTGCCGTAATATCCCCTTCCCAATGTGTCTTTAACGTCTCCGTTGAGATCGAGTGTGATTTGGAGGGCATCTCTGAAAATAGTAGAGTTCTCACTGTAACACCCCAAATTTTTTGTATAGTGACTAAAATGTAAATTTTGAAAGTTTTATGGATAAAGTATAAAATTTGGAAAGTTTAGAGATCTAAGTGGTAGTTTTCCCAAAAATAATTTTTATTCCATAAATGGATAGTTGACTCTTGAGTGTGGGGTTTTATGGAAAATATATTCTTGATCCGTAATGTGTGTTAAAAGCTAGAAAATGTTAAAGTTCGATAAAATTCGGTAAATCCGATAGAATAGACATTTCAGGAAATTTGAAGGATATTAAATTAAGCTTATAAATATTATTTCCACATCTTAAAATGATGGAAAATAATATGAATCATTGGATTTGAGAATTAATTTCCATGTTCAATTTGGATCGTTGGATTAAAGTGACAAGATTGAAATTTTTGGAAAGTTGCATGGATAAAATGGTAAAGGGTATAATATTTTGTCCATCTTTGCCTTTGGAAAGAAAATAAGGGTTATGTGGCTTGGTATGATGTAAAAATGAGGATTCCTAAAATTGACATTTCACATTAAATAAATTTTAAATTCATTTAAGCATAATAAATGACAAATTAACATGAAATTATTTAGAAATTTCATGAGACAATCTTATCTTCAAGCCTCCATTTCGTGCTCCCCATGAACTAGGTAAGAAAAATTTTATTTTTCATTTTTGAGTAATTTTCTTTGGATTTTGGATCGAGCCGTGAAATAGAAAATTTTCTATTCAAAAAACATTATCATTTGGTACCATTATTGCATGCTAATTTTGCTTGAGTTCAAAGATCCCAAATTCTAAGATTTATGTTCATGTTAGGGTTTTAAAAATTGATGATGGATTTTGAGGTTATTGATGTTGTAGATTCATTTCTAAGCTTGATTGATGATTAAAATCACATATACATGTGTATATAAGTTTCGGCCTAACTCTAAATTTGGGAGAAAGATGTGATTTGATGAAATTGAGTTAGGGGTTTAATTGTAGAGACTTTGAAACGATGATTAGAGGTTGATTTCATGTTTGAATCGATTGAAATAAAGTGAAAATGGTGGAACCCTAGCCTTAAAGCATTCGACCTAGGCATAAAAATGCAAGAAAAATTATGGAAAAATTTTGTAAGAGTTGGAAATGATGGAGAGAGGATTATACAAGCCTTATAAAGTTATAGAAATATTTTTTTAATTTTGAGAAAGTTGAGGGACCTATTCGGTATTTATGGGAAATTATAGGATCAATGTATAATTATTCAATAGTTAATGTACTATGTTGGAAATTAATGTTAGAGTGTTGAAATTGATGTTAGAATGTGAAATTGGGTCATTTTGGAATAAAAATTCTTTTTGAGAAAATGACTACTTAGGTCTCTAAACTTTTCTAAATTCTATATTTTGATCACTAAACTTTCAAAATTTATATTTTGGTCACTAACCAAAAGACTCAACTTTGATGCAAAAAAGGAGGATTAAGATGGGTAAAAGGCTGAGTTCATGACAAGAAAAAAAAAAGAAAAAGATAACGGGAGGTAAATGTGTACCTTTGTTTTAAAAGGCACCAGGCGTACCGAGGCACAAAGAGTACCGAGATCGAAAACGTAGGACAAAGGCACGAAGGGCGAGGCGCATTTTTGTGCCCAAAAGCTTATATATAAATTCTGGAGTATATCCAGACCCATTACCCTTGAAGCACTATCTTCTTCCCATACTCTATTCCTTCACCATTGGCTGCCCCCTCTTCAAAAGTTAAAACTCATTTTTAACTTTTACAATACTTTATTTTCCAAAACATTTCACCTCAAAGTTTGAATTTAGCATTTATTTGAGGCTGTCAAAAGCTTCTGCACAACATCAATTCCCTTCTCTACGCTGGCTTTCCATTTTGGCTCAAGAGCTTCAATTGCCTTCTCTTCCTATTCAGATAACCCTGTGAGGTTAGATGCAATCAAAGCTTCAACCTCATTCCTTCCGAGCTTGATCTTGGATTGAAAGAATGGAAGATTGGCCAGATTAAACTGCACAAAAAAGCACTTATAGACATCCCTATCTCCATCCATAGCGTGAAGCGGAGATTGCTGCAAAGGCATGGACAGGTGGCAGCACCTGTATTTGCCTCCACAACCGTAGATGTTTTGGTTACCACGTTGAACATGTTCATACCACTGAACAAAAGAACGGTGTGAAGGAATTTATTCTTAAGGTGAAAGATGGTCGTCACAACTTGTTACTTTGCACATGTCTTGTCTTTACAAACCATATGGTTGCTACGTGTGAACAACCATTGAAAAAAAGACTTGTGTTAAGACATTTATTCTTAAGGCACCAGAAGCAGTGCACCCTAGACCCTTCAAAAAGACACAAAAGCGGGTGCTAAGATGGGCTTTTAGTTACTCGCCTCGCCTATGCCATCGAAGGCGTTTTTCTTTGCACCCAGCACTTTGAGCGCGCCTGGGAGCGCTTTTTAAAACTTAGAATGTGCCACATCTGATAAAATTAATGAGAGGTAACGCCATGGATCGTATTAAAAACGAATTAAAAGTCCAGTGATTGTATTGTAAGTTTTAAAAGTTGAGTGACCAAAATGAAAATGTCCTAAAAGTTATCACACTAAAAATAAACTAAAAGTTCGGTGACTATATTGCAAGTTTTAAAAGTTGGGTGATCAAAATGCAAATGTCTTAAAAATTTGGGGACTATTTATGTGCGTTACCCTAAAATAAATATGAATTATAAAGTTCAAATATTTGAATTAGTTTATTATCTATCATTTTGATATTTTCAACATTTTTAAACATAAATTTTAAGTTTTCAAATTGTAATACACATTATTTTAATTTAGTCTTTTATTATAGAAAAAAATTATGTAACACTTTAAGAGCGTATAGAGTACGTCATATAATACATAATATCTATACTTTTTTAAATAAAATATATTTTTTAAAAACCTTAAAAATTCACAAACTGAAAAAAATCAATTTATAGATTTAAGAGATTTTTATATATATTTTTAAAGTGTAAACTATTTCAAATACCACTAACATTTAAGTTCGGGCAAGAAAATGTCAATAACGTTTTACTTTTATCAATTTTAACACTGACGTTTATATTTAATTCTAATTATATCACCTCATCGTTAATCTGTTAACATGATGCTGACATGTCACCTTCTTGCAAGTGTTGACATAGATAGTTTTATTAAAACCATTTAATTCAAGTATCAAGTTTGGAATTTGTATGAAGGAGAGAGTGAAAGACTGAAAAATCCTATTTTCATTTCGGATACAGTGTAGGATCCGAGGATCTTCTGAACTCAGAAGCTATACATGTGTTTTTTATTTCTCGAAGCAGATTTCAATCTGGGAGCTTTGGTTGCAATTAGAAAATCTCGGTTGTCACCTTCATTCAATTGCTGAATTTCTAGTTTCCCTATTTTGGGCTCTTCATTAAACAAAAGAGGCAGTTCATTGCCATTCTCAAAACCTATTCTACACCTTACAAATGAAACCTGAAAACAAATCAATATTAACTTCCAGCCTCTGAGATGCTCTGTAATGACGGCCGCTATGATTTCGACCTCATTGCAGCGGCGTTCGCAGGTATTAAATTTTAGGTTTGGATCAAAACTTTAGGGTTTTTTGTTAGGGAAGAAAGGAAGGAGAATTTTAGAATCTGCAAGCAAAGTTTTGTAAGTTTTGGCGTGGATTTAATCTACAAGCAAATTTAACATAGTGGTTGGGCATTTAGTTTTTGTTCTAAGGTTTATAGTTTGAATCTTATAGAAAGTATTTTTTATATCAACAAAATCTCATCGTTTTGAATTTTTTAAGTATCAAGACGATAATACAAAAGTAACGTTGTTTTTGTGAGAGAGTCACGTCATTATTATCATTTCAAAGAGTAAAAAAGTTGTTAGGTCAATATCTCATTAATAGATTATCGGTAGGCTGACATTATTAGAGTTAAACATAAACATTAACATTAGTATTGATAAAACTAAAACATCAGTGGTATTTTTGAGCTCACGCTCAAAGATCAGTGGTATTTAAAGTAGTTTACCTATTAAAAATAAAATTTAATATATATTATGTATCACAAGACATGTTCTCAAAATGGTCACTTGATTTTTTTATAATGGGAAAATGGATAAAATAATGTATATCATGGTTGGAAAGTTCATAGGCTAAATTGAATAAAACAATTATGCTAAAAATAACTCAAAAATTAGTAGATGTACTCTAGCCATAATCTTATATCATAACGGTTAAATAAATTTTTATATTTTGATCAAATAAATCAAATAAAATTATATATTTAATACTTAACACGTTAAATTATTTAAAGAGTGAAGGATTTTATTATCAAATAACTAAACATTCTTCATATTTTTTTTTTGTTACAAATAATTAATCGTCCCCACACACAAAACATTTTGATGGGTTGAAATCCATGCAAAACCTACGCTGAGTAGATGAACATTTTTAATTACTCAACTAATTAACGAGACTCTTCGACTTACATTACAAAACATATGAAAGTTTACAATTACATGGACAAAGCAAAAACTTGGATCATACATTTGAGGGTGACCTTTGTCCCTCCGATGAGGGACTTGTAGCTCTAGGTTCAATTTTGGTCATCATCATCCCGGGCCTCATTGAAAGATCATCTTCATCATGGTACGCATAAGCAAATCCTCCATGCCTAGTCATGTCCATCCCTGCGGTCTCATCGTGACTAGAAATCCTCAACAATTTCATCTTATGCAGCCCATAAAAGAGTGGTCCCATTGTGGCCGTAACCCACCCTATTATCGCCAATATTTGGATGATTTGTGCCCCTAATAGCTTCCCTCCACCAACCCATGAACAGCCCATACGGCCTCCTCGACTGCCCCGGGTAAACCTCGTTGACGTACGCCTTCGTGGCGAACAATCCGGTGAAGAGTAAACCCCATGCGCCGCACCCTCCGTGTAATTGGGCTGCCTCGAGCGGGTCATCGTACTTGAATTTGGATGCGACGATGTTGAATCCGATTAGAACCCATGCTGCTACAAACCCACATATGACTGCAGCCCATGGTTCTACTACTGAACACCCTGAGGTGATTGCAGCAAAGCCTCCTAATAAACCATTGCAAACATCAATTACATTCCAATGGCCAACCAATAACCTCTTGCTGAACAAGGTTGTCAGAGCAGCTGTGCACCCGGCCAATGTCGTCGTGACAGCTGTCCTCCCTATCGCACTCCATTGCCCGTAATAGCCTCCGTTATTATCGTATCCTTTCATGATGGTTAAAAATGAACCCGGGTTAAACCCGTACCACCCGAACCACAAAAGAAACGTCCCGAGGACTACTAACGAGGCACTGTGGCCACGTAATGCCACGGACCGACCTGCCCGATCGAATCGACCGATTCTTGGGCCTTCGATCAACGCGCCCCATAATCCGGCAATACCACCGACCATGTGAACCACACCCGAACCGGCAAAGTCAATGACGCCCGAACCGAGTAAAAGGTTATCGGGTTTGATTGGGCTGGCCCACCCATCTGCGGACCAAAACCAATGTGAAACAACAGGGTAAACAAAGCCTGTTAAAAAGGAAGAGTAAATAAGGTAGGCCACGAATTGGGTTCTTTCGGCTATGGACCCACTAGTAATCCCAGCAGCAGCTATAGCGAAAGCCCATTGATAAAGGAAAAAACTATAATCAGCTGAAGGTGAAGGGAAGGCTTTAAGACCAAAGAAGTGACGTCCGATGAAACCATTGGATGGTGCACCGAAGGCCAAGGCGAAACCGAAGAGGTAATACGAGAGAGCACCGGCTGCGGCGTCGAGGACGTTGGTCAACATGATGTTCATGGTGTTCTTAGCTCGGACCGAGCCTGCGCAAAGCATGGCGAAGCCGAGTTGCATGGCGAAGACTAGGTAGGCGGAGAAGAGGAGGTACGTGTTGTCAATGGCGTGAGTGGCGTCGGAGAGTTGGTTGGAGATAGTGGAGAAGCGGCCACAGAGGAAGGTGGCGAGGGCGGTCGCATTGGAGGAGGAAGAAGAGGAGAGGAGGGGGAGGAGGTCGGAGGCGGAACAAGTGAGGGAATCCATGGCGGAACAAATGAAGAGGAAAAGAGGAGATGCAAACACATAGGGTGGGCGATAGTGTGATTATATAGAGTTGAAAGGAGTGGTGGAGGGTATGAGACAATGACAAATTGTATTATTCCTTTTTGTGGCAAACTTTAAAAAATGAAGATTCTATACTACTACTAATAATACAAAACTAACATTGTAGGTTTATTTTTTCTATCATTATTATTTGATTTATTAATCGATTATTTTGAAATAAGTTTTGTAAAATCTTATTATGGTAATTTTTTTATTAAGAGAACGATTTTTTAACTCAATTTACTTTATTCGCAAATATAATTCAAATTTTAATTTTCTTGGCCAGATTTAATGTTTTATCTCATTAAATTAACTGACTGTCGATAATGTTATAGATTTATTTATTATAAAAAAGATTTACCTTAGAGTGAACCTATCATGTGATTAAAAGTATATATATATAATATATATATATATATATATATATATATATATTATTGTGAAGGAGATAAAATGAGAATCGAGTGGTGCCAAATTGCAGAGCTGCTAGGTGACAATGTGATATTTATGATGCTGTCTAATTGTAGAAAAATAAAAGCGTGTAGCCAAGCAAATTAACACCACACCACCGCCCAAGTGGAATGACTTTGTGTCACGAAACCACAGTGGATCGTGACTGTAAACTATTATTATTAGTTTTAAAGTTAATTGCACATGTACTTAAAGTATGACTTTTATTTTAAATATAAATTTTTAAACTTTTAAATATTTCAGTTTTATTTCTAAATTTTATGATTATCATTTTAAATTAGTCCTTAAACTTTTGAATGTTTTGTTTTCATCTCTAAACTTTGGCCTTATTCTAAATTGGTTGTCAAACTTTTTGAACATTCTAATTTTATTCCAAACTATATGTATATATTGATCACATCTCTTGTTAATAAAATGGTTAGACTAAATTATATTATTATATGTTTGAAAAAGAACAAAATTTAGGTTAAAATATAGTTTAATAATTATATTATTATATGTAGATTGATCTCTGCTTATATTCGATCACCTAGTTGTGTGTACTCTTTTCCTCCAAGTAGATTTAGAGAAGTTTTTAACGAGACACACAACTTAAGTTAGTATTATTAATAAAACGCCGCAGCATCTTCGGGTCCCCACTCTCTGCATCTTTCGCCAAAACTTGCTACAATTAATTGATTTAACTTTTTTTTTTATATTCTAATTGTTTCAACTTTTTAATATTTATTAGCATTATTTTCCTGCAGATGCACGAGTTTTTAATTTTATTAATTTTTTATTAATTAATAGCAAATTTTATTTTTTAAATAATGAAACTTAAATTAAATTAAATAATAGTTATTTATTTAATGTTTATTTACAATATGTTATCTAACTATATATTGTATTTTTTATTTTATTTTATATCAATTTAGAATATGAGTATAAAATAATAATTAAAATTCAAAATATTAAAAGGTATTCATTGAAAAAAAAAAGAAATAAGAAGTTAATCTCAGGCCCAATAATCTATTTATATGTAAATAATAATTTATAAAAAATAAAATTTATATTTAAATATAAAATAAAAATTAAATAACTTATTAGAGTTATTTAATTTAAACAAAAATAATCGCATGCTTTATATATTTAGTAAACTATTATTATTATTTTGATTTTAATTAATAATTTTCAAAGATCAGAGTCACTCTTGCTTGTTTTCGGTGTTTCTGTTTTTGTTGGTGTCTGAGTGTATTATCAATCTCCGCTTCTTTATTAGAATATTGAAACAATTAAATTCTTTGCTAACAAATATTATAATATCGAAACGATTAAATTATCGAAAAGATTTAAAAAAAATTAGAATAAATTGTATATTCTTTTAATATTTATTTCATTTATTTGCAGTGAGATATGGTTGCCTCTGGGAAGAGTTTGAAGGAAAGACAAATTCAGGAATGGCAAGAGTATGTTTGATATATTCTCATTTCTGTGTGCATTGCTCTTAAACCATTTTCCATGTATAATTTGTTATATACTTTTCTACTGCATCAATACTATGCTTTTTGCTTGTGCAACATGCTGCTAGTTGCAGTTTAATTAAACTATCATCGCCTTCTTTAATGTTATATGGTGCTTGATTTGCTAGTTGCTACTATCTATCTTATGTGATCATGAAGAGTTTACATGTTTCTTTAATATTATATGGTGCTTGATTTGCTAGTTTCTACTATCTATCTTATTTGATAAATTATTATTTGTTTAACTTAAAAATTAAACAAATAATAATTTATCAATTTATTATTACATTTATATATATATAATTGAAATAAAAATGTAATGAAAACGATCGAAGGCAATTCATAGAAACATAACCTAAACACATTGTCAAGAAATACACATTTTAGCTTTTATCCCACATTGTCAAGAAACATAACATAAACACTCCAATATGCCTATATAAGCTAACCCTTTTAAACTCTTTTACTCATGGAAATAATATGTATTAAATTATGATGTTAGTCTCTATAATTTTTTTTTTAATTTTTAAAATGCTAAGGTGCGGATGTTGATTCACGTCTGTCCTTACGTGGTGCCAACTCGGAAGAAACCCTGCAAAGACGTGAATGACGATCCACGCCTTGTTAGAAGGAGTGCTAAATCGATAAAATTTGAAGAAAAGATGTCTGATAGGTAATTATTTCTTGTAAGATTGATTTTTTTATATAATAAAGCCTTTAATTTATGGACTGTTTTTTCGTATTAAATTATTAGATTATAAGCTGACATTGTAGGCATAGCATGATCCACTTGATTTGGTCTCGAATTTTGTAAACCAAAACGCCCAGTTGATTAAATTTGTCGTTAGATACAAAAGAATCTCAAAGTTGATTCCAAATATTGATTAAGAAAAACTTCGATCACATGTCCCACCGGAGGGATCTTCATCAACCCGTCACTTGCTTTTTTTATATTTTATGCTGAAAATGATTTCTATAATTTTAGGATAAAGTAAGTATTTTATACTTAAATTATCAATTTTAGTCTATTTAAGTACTCAAACTTTTAGTTTTTTTCAAAATCATACCTAATGTTTAGTTTTTTCAAAATCATACCTAATGTTTAGTTTCTGTTTCGTTTTAGAACTTTACCATTAAAAACTTTATGCGTTTAGTTCTTAAACTACCAGTTTTGATCTTAGTACTTAAAATTTCTAATTTTTTCAAAAACTTGAATTTTGACAATCGTACTAAAATGGAAAAAAAACTAAACTTTAAGTATATTTTTAAAAATATTAAAAGTTTAAATATTAAAATGGATCAAAATTAATAATTTAGATACTAAACACTTAATTTATCCTAATTTTTATTTAATTGCAGTGTGTCAGAATTCGATGGACTTGAAAAATCTCTGGCCCCTTTTTAGATTCACATAAACTATTTTTTTTAAGCTGCTGATTTAAGCATGAATATTATATTATATTATATTATATATATTTGTTTATTAATAATAGATGGTGTAATATATATAACCATTCCATTTGTTTATTTTGTTGGACTTTTGGAAGTTCTTGACAAAGTTTAAAGATACATTTACAAATACAAAAAAAAAAACTGCTGATTTAAGCATGAATATTATCATTTCTTTATTTATAACCTATTGATTTGATTATATTTTAATTATTCAACTATTTTTTTTATCAATTAGATCATTAATATTTTAATTGATTTTATTCAAATCACTAACAGTTAAATGTTAATAAAATTACATATATGATAGTTAAATAAATTTATATAATAATATATTTGGTCCTTATTACTTATTACTTATGCATTTAATCCATTTCATCCTATATTGAGTTAATTCAACTAATTTAACTCTCTAAATTTACAAATTTTATTAATTAGGTCTCATTACCAAACTATTCATTCTTAACACGGATTTAGTCTCAAAATTATAAATTCTATTAATTTGATCATAATTCTGAATAATTCAATAAATTTAACCCTCACATTCACAAAAATCATCAATTTAGCCCTTCACATATACAATTTTAACCCTTTGAGAAACCTTTTCCCTACCTATTGCTACAATAACTAACTCTATTGTTGCTGTCAGTGACCAGTCAAAACGATTCAAGAAGTCTTTATTGCCCTTCCGCAACGTCGAGACATGGATACGTTCTCCTCCATCATCCGCGAGAGATATTACACGAAACAACAAGAAGATAATGTAAGACTCTACTCCCTCCAACAATTATCCCTCCACATGATTAATACCTTTGCCTCAAGCGTTAAAATGTCTCTCGCTATTCTTAGAATACATGATTACGTCCTAAAACTACCTTAAAGAGTTGAGAGCCTCCATTCTAATGAGTGTAGAGATACCCTCATCCCGAAATAATTGAGATGCCTTCAGAAGCCCAACAAATAAATGAATGTCTCTCACTCTTGTTGATATAGATTGGAGTTGCCTCCAAAAAGTGTTAAGATGTCTCAACACGATAAAGATGCTTCCACTCGATAAATAGATCTCTCTGAGGCTGATGAGATACCTCATCTCTGGCTAAGGACTTAGAGAAACCTTCACCCTATCTCTTTGTTCTCTCTGGCACCGCTGTCAGTGATTGACTAAAAAAGTCGAGAAGCCTCTGTTGGGAAATTAAACGAGTAATTTTCCTATAACCAGATTAGTGAGAATGCGAAATAAAAGCGGAATAATAATATCCGGAATTGATAATGGAGTTCGGTCAATTATGCCTACGTCTTTAGACTGATGCAGATCTTTTACTAAAGATAGAAAATTTACAGGTGTTTACATAAACACTCACAACTAAATGGGAGAAAGAAATGATTTGGGATGGTTTTGAAGCTAAATGGGTTATGGTATTTATAGTTGAAGCTTAAGGACTAATCTTGTAAATACCCTAAAGTGTAAGGACTAAATTTGTAATTTTTCCATGCCACTTTTCAACCAAATCATGCTGCTTAATTTTAAATCGCCTAACCGTCAGCTACTTTGATTTTTCAACAAT